TAGAGTCCTCCACCTCGACCCCAAACATGTTGTTGCTCATGTATTGTATCAAACACTGCCCAACCCAAAAATCTGGGATTCATCCTACATTCCTTCCCATCACATACTACATCTAATCAGACACCAGGTCTTACTGGTGTTTGGATCAAAATCCAGTCTTGTTGATTTTCATTTAAAAAATCTTTCTTTGGCCCTAACCAGTTTGGCTCAGTGGATAGGAGCGTCGGCCTGCGGACTCAAGGGTGCCAGGTTCGATTCCAGTCAAGGGCATGTACCTTGGTTGTGGGCACATCCCCAGTAGGGAGTGTGCAGGAGGCAGCTGGTCGATGTTTCTCTCATCGATGTTTCTCTCGATGTTTCTCGCTATCCCTCTCCCTTTCTCTCTGTAGGAAATCAATAAAATATATTTTTTAAAAATATCTTTCTTTGCCCAGCCGGTGTGGCTCATTTAATTTGAGCGTTGTCCCATGCACCAAGAGGTCGCCAGTTCAATTCCAGGTCAGGACTCATGCCCAGGTTGTGGACTCAATCCTCAGTAGGGGGCATGCAGGAGGCATGTTTCTATTTCTCCCTCTATCTCTAAAATCAATAAAAGCATTTTTTTTTTAATCTTTCTTCGACTCTCCCCTATCTCCCCATTTTTACTGCCCCAATTTAGGCATTCATTTCACTTGTGTGGTCTCTGAGCCTCCATGTTACACTTTCCCACCCAGATAGCTAGCTGATCATGTCACTTTCCTGCTTATTCAGTGATTGAGATATTGTCAATTTCTTAGCACAGCAAAGCTCTTCTAAACCTGATCAGAGAAGGCTTAGAACTGTACCTCCGACCACAGTTTCCCTGGCTCCACTCACTTATCCATGGTTTCTGAAAACAAATAGTTTTTCCCCCTCTCTGCTTTTGCTACTCCTTTAGCTATATCCTACCCTCTTTTCCTCTGGACAAACTCATCTTCTTTCAATTCTGTTTCCTCAAAATCCCTCTTATCCAGGCACTTAGGCCCTATTTCAATGATATCAGGGTAACTTGTTCACAACCTAGTACAGTATTGATCACAATTGTTTTCTTTCCATTACGTAAGCTTTTTGAGGATAGGATTTTCCCCCCAAGTTTTGCATCCCCACAAACTAGAATAACTAACGCAGAATAAGGCTCCATTCATTATTTCTTGCTGAATGAACAATTGAATGTGAAAAGATTAAGAGCCACCATGAAACTTTCCTACTCTAAAGTATAATCCTTGATTTGGGAGGGAATTATCCTTTTGTTTTCAGTTTCTAATTTATTTTAACATCACCACCATTGGATACCAGGTAAGGCAATTACTATATCCCCCTTATACAGATAACAGGCTCATCAGACATGCCGATTTGCTCAAACTACAACAGGTCTCGTGAAAGGGGTTTGGCAGGTCTGCTCTCCCAAGGTCAGGGCTTTAACCTCTTATACAGGTTTTATACAGGCTGCCAAGTGAAAGCAGAGAAGACAATGGAGACACTCAATCCAAAGTTGCTGCTTCTCCAGCTAGCCAAGAGCTTGGACTACAATGGGGTCCACAAGTCTCCAAAGCTACGTAGACAGATTAATATAGTGAATTTACAGGCACGGGGTTTTGGAGTCAGATGGATTTAGATTCCAATACTGACTCCACCATTTAGTACATGACCTTGAATAAGTTACTGAATCTCTACTTTACATTCCTCATCAAAATACAAGAGTAATACCTCTCTCAAAGTTGTTGTGAGGTCTCAGAGTATGTAGAATTATTCTTTCAACATTTATAGACCTATTAAGTGCCAGTCACTGTTCAGAGGTTAATCCCATAGTATTGCGTAAAATGCTAGCAATTACTGCCAGGGCCACATGTTCTCTACTGCATCCACAGAGGCCCAGGCCCCAGTAGTCAGTGCAGCTATACTCCTACCAGCCCCACAAGAAGTACTGCAGATCAGGAGTGATTACATCCCAGGAAGGAGGCCATTTCTCTTTCCCATTGCTACACCAAGGGAAGATCAGGGTCAAGTTTCTTATACTGTTTCTGAAAGGACAGCCCAATAGATGTTAACATGATCAAATTTCTCAAACAGCAGCCTCCCAAGAGTGACAAAGGGTCATAGGAGCTAAAGATGTCCTTTTCGTACATCAACACAAAAGTCAAATTATAAAGAGTGGGCTAATTCTGCTGCCTCTTAGAGCAGGGATCCTTAGTTTAGTCCAAAGTCAGGGAATGATGGGCTTGAAATGGGTGTGCATTGACAGGGCTGGGGTAGGAGGTGTATGGGTCCACAAAGCCCTCACAAAGTTACTTGTAAGGGTGTGTGTAAAAATTTGTGTATATGCATCTCCTAGAAAGAAGGTCCATTACATTTATCAGCATCTCAAGGATTTGAAGATGAACCACTGTCTTAAGATGATTAGGAAAGAGAGAAGGAAAAAGGGTTTAGTTCTTTCCATTCAGGGCTGCTAGCCAAGGCTCAGAGTTGCTGCAAACAATACTGGCTCACATCTACTTCCCACCCCAATCTGGCCTCTGTCCACCATACCCCAGAAAACAGACAGAGAGGGACCTTGGGGATAAAGGTCTTTATTCAACAAAGTGATCTCACTCAGTAACAAAAGAACAGGAGGCATCAACTCCACCAAAGGTCTGGAGCAGTGTCCACCCCTGGCACAGGGAGCATGGCCCACTAACAGATCAGCTGCAGCTCAGAACCTTTGGTGGCCACTTAGAGGTCATAGTTGGGGTTCTTCCGAAGGATAACGAAACCTTCCAGAATGGGGGTAACAGGGAGATATTCCTCAGTGGCCAATTCTGCCCGTTCCCCGTGGGCCAACAACACTGGGGTTGTGTGTGTCTGGAACCCTGTGATAGCCTTAGGTTTGCCAGCCTGGCCCACCACATCCACTGCCTGTAGGGTGAGAAAATTGAGATGAAGGGACCCCGGATAGCAATGCAGCAACAACCCAGAGCCCATACGAGTTTCAGAGAAGCAAATATATGTGCAAGTTATAGAATACAGTCTGAGCCCTCCTCTCCACTTAACCCCTCACCTGGCCCACACGGACAGACACTGGCAATGGTCGCAACTCCTCATCAAATGTAACCAGCATTCGGGGCTGCATGGCAGCCACCAGCCCATACAATACATAGTGAGATTTGCCTAGGATGACTGAGGGAAGAACACATGACAAACATAGTTAGAGACATTAGCACAAGCCTGATCTGAACCTAGGGACCCCACTCCAGCCCTGACTCTTTAACCCATTATATAGCTGAACCCACATTCCTCTCCTCATATAACCTACTATAAACCAGAGATGCCCCCACCTTACTCTGCTCACAGCCCTCAAACTTGATAATCACTTTCCCCCAGGGCACTCAGGAGCAGAAACTGCACTCAGTTCTCCTTTCTCAAAAGAAAGTATCTTTGGGCCAGATCAAAAGTATGCTAGATATGCCCTAATCGGTGCTCAGTGGTTACAGCATTGGACCTTGGACGGAAGGGTTGCGGGTTTGATTCCCAGTCAAGGGCACGTACCTTGGTTGCAGGTTCCCCAGCCCCAGTAGGGGCGAATGTGGGAGACAACCAATCAATGTGGCTCTCTCACACTGTTTCTCCCCCACACCCCCACTCTCTCTGGAAATCAATGGAAAAAAATATCTTTGCCCTAACAAGTTTGGCTCAGTGGATAGAGCGTCGGCCTGCGGACTGAAGGGTCCCAGGTTCGATTCCGGTCAAGGGCATATACCTTGGTTGCGGGCACATCACCAGTAGGAGGTATGCAGGAGGCAGCTGATCGATGTTTCTCTCTCATCGATGTTTCTAACTCTCTATCCCTCTCCCTTCCTCTCTGTGAAAAATCAATGAAATATATTTTTAAAAATAATCCTTGGGTGCCCAGCCGGCGTGGCTCAGTGGTTGAGCATTTTACCTATGAGCCAGGAGGTTACAATTCGATTCTCAGTCAGGGCACATGCCCGGGTTGTAGGCTCAGTCCCCAGTGGGGGCGTGCAGGAGGCAGCCAATCAATAATTCTCTCTCATTGTTGAAGTTCCTCTCCCTCTCCCTTCTTCTCTGAAATCAATAAAAATATATACATTTTAAAAATCATTGAGTGAGGATTTTTTAAAAAAGTGTGGGAGATAAAAGTTTCATGAGGTCCATCACAGGCCCTAAAAACTTTTAGAATGGTACAGAGCTAACTCAAAGCCTTGCTCATAAATGATCAAGATGGCCCTGGTAGGGATGGAGACAGGGCACCAGGTGCCACCATATAAGATTCCTGACAGGAACTCACTGTTGCGGACATCCAGGAAAGAGACAAGCACAGTGAGCAGCCCAGCCACAGCCACTTGACTCATAAGCTGCCGGTCACTGTGGTAGGGGCAGAGGGTGAGTGTGCCCTTCCCTAAATGTGTCAGGCCCTGAAAAATACAGAAAGTAGAGGTGAAGAGTCACATCTGAAAAGACATCACCTAACTTAGCTACACAGAAATCCAACTCACTCACATCCTCCCTCCAGACTGAACTCAAGGTCCCCTTCATGTCACTACATGTCTCCCATCCCCAGAGATATGTCCCTTAGCAAACTCTAAGGAACACAATTCTATTCTTTACCTGTGCCAAGCGCACCATGAAGAGGTTGTTGGGGTCCTTGGCATGATACTGGGCTAACTGGCGCAGCATCGCAGCCAGACGGGCATTATTGGTACCTGGAAATGTTAAGCATCACAGAGTATTGAAAAAAAAGGATCCTCAAACCTTCCCCAAAGCTGCTTGTGATCTTTTTCTGACTGATACTCACCACTGCCCACCATGCCCATGGCAAAGATGGAGTTATAGGAAACTTCTGGGTCAGCATCATGAGAAAATTTGCTTAGAGTATCCAGGATGTTGAGTCGTGGATTTGAAACAGAAATTAAGGCCAGTGCTAAAGGCACAGCCCGTCGGAGTGTGGGCTCCCCATATCTCAGCTGGGAATAAAAGAAAATAACAAGAGCATCACAGAAAACAGTGAAATAAGCTTTGTTCCAGGAACAGACTAATAGGTACAAGAGGCTTTACACAAGTTTTATAGAAAGGGCACAAAAAAAAACATTTCTCAACCATGAAAACCCGTCAGGAAAGTTTCCTCTAGGGAACCCCAGGCATCAAAATCAGTATATTCTCATCCTCTCCGTGCGATACTCACCAGGTGGCCAAAGGTTCGTAGTGCCATCTCCGCACCAATCTCCTCCCCCATAGCAATAAGGGCAATTCCCAGCACAGCCACTCCCTGCAAGTGAAGAGGGAGCAGAACCCAGTAAGCTCAGGCAACAAAAAACTCACCTCTGACTGGAGTCCTGCCTGAAAAGAAAAAGCTGTCCTGTGGGGCACACCCTTCCCGCTCATGTATGAAACCCAGCCATGTGCTATGTCAATACACAGCCATGCTCAGAGGGGTTCAAAAGCCAACCCAAACCAGCCCCGCCCTCCACCCTGCAATCTTCTCTTCCCTCAGGGCTCACGCAGAAGGCCTAGCTGCCACAGCACCTGATGTGCTCCCATGTCAGCGGGAGCTTCCTTCTTGTCTTTGTCCTTCTTTTCCTTCTTGTCTTTGTCTTCCTCCTTCTCCTTGGAGTCAAAGTGTTCACTACAAATGTGGAGCAGTTGCTGCACCTTCAGTACATTCCCAGAGCCTGTAGCAGGATGGTAAGAGTGAGGAAGGGTAGAAATGAAGAGGTACCAAGGAAAGCCTTGGTACCTCTCCAAGAATAGGAGAAGCTAACCAATCTAATACAGATCTGAATGACTGAGCCAGGAGAAACTATCTGAAAAAAGGTCCAGGAGAGAAACGGAGTCACTGGGAAGCACAAAGACACACACCTGCATAGGCACACACATCCACCAGTGTGTTGGCAAAGCTGCGGAATGGCTCTGACACAACCTCCAGCGCAGCCAGGATTGCTTCAATGGCTTCTCCCTTCCCTACAGGACAGATTCAAGGGGTCAGAAGACATTTGCTTCCATACACCACAGCCTGACACATAAACTGTCCCTGTTGTATCCATTTATTGTCAGCCTTTTGCCCAAATAGAGAGACATCCCCTCACCCAGGTGATTGAGGCCCAATCCAAGAGGAAGCCAACGAGCGTAAGTGTCTTTGAGCTCAGTCTCTGACTTCTCCATGATGGTCTGAAGGATAGTGGAAGTGACATCTCCATTGCAGGATCCCACTGCTATCATTCCACAGGCTAGAGCTGTCACACCTGCCACCTAGAAACAGGAAAGTCAGCATTGCACATAAGTTGTTAAAATAGTTGTTTACCTATCTAGACTCCAGACAGCGAATCCCTACAATCTGCTGTAACTGCACTAGGTAAAAATCCCTTTCTGATGGTAGGTCAAAATAACAATAGTAGCAATAATTCACTGAATACTTGCTATGTCAGCCACTATGCCACCTGCTTTGCATACTATTAACATTTAAGCACAACAATTCATGAAACAGTTCCTACTGTTATTCCTCTTTTATTGGCGAGGAAAATGAAGCCAAAAGAGGTTAAGTTATGTGTCTAAGATCACATTGCTGATAAGCAGAGGTGGGAGGATTTGAACTGAGGTCTTTCTGACTAAAGCCTACGCTATACTTAGCCATCACTAAAACAACTCTGCACAAGTAAGAAAATTCAGGGTTGGCCAATAACTAAACCAGTGAGTGAGAATAACCCACCCAAACTGGGTTAAGTTACTAGCCACTCTAGTCTGGTACTTCTCATGGATCCCAAGGGCTGGAACTAGCAGCAACACCACTGGGACTTAGAATCCCAGTTCCAAGGGATTTCACTGAAAGTAATATAATTCCCCACTCTCCCAGCCCCAACTCCATTTCTTCTTTCACTATTTATTACAGAGAGTGGTAGGACTTGAGTATTTCCCCACCTCCCATAAATGACCAACAGTCTCTATTCACCTCCATACTGGACTTGGAATCTCCCATCACAGGCAGCAGCAGTGTTAGAACGTCTTCACGATTTGAGCCAGCATAGGCCAAGCCTAGCCTGCAAAAGCCAGGGAGATGCAGCCCCCAACACACATCCAAGGAAGGAACAAAAAGAGGAATGGTCATTCATTCATCATTTCAACAGTCACAAAGAGCCAAGTACTCCACAGGCATAATGGTAGTTCTTGGCAATACAAAGGTGAAAAGGGCCAATTCTCTTTTTCACAGAGATTTCGGGATGAACACTACCAGAAAGAGAAGCAATAAGCCTTACCCAAAGATAGAACCAAGTCTCATAGTGTTGCTGTTGTGGAGAACATAGTCTGAGAGCAGTGCCAGAGCAGGGTCACACTCATTCCGGACCGCAGAGTTCACAATGCCACAGGCCAGGAGGGCTCCGGACTGCAAAAATGCAAAGAGATTCTTCACTCAGGCTACTCTATCTTCCTTATCACAAAGACTCAATACAGGCCTCAGAGCAGCACCTGCCTAAACTGGAGTTAAAAACCAGATAACTTACCAGTGAAATGGAGGCCCTGTGGGCCCTAGAACAGGGATGGGGGATGTCCCCATTAGTGGGCTATGCCCAGACCAACCTTGATGTAATCCTCAGAAGAGTACAGGTACTTGTCAATCTGGGTGAGACCACCATCCACATCCCACAGCAGAATCATGCCAAGGGACGCAGCTGCACTCAACATTCCTATACCAAGAAAAAAATCTGTCTTAAAGTGGTCCTACACTGAGAAAACTATTATAAAGAGCTCTCCCAGGAACTGCACTGGGGAACACTTGTCAGGTAACAGATGAACCTAGGAGGGCAAGTGACCAAAGCAACACAAAGATAAAGTAGAAACAGAATCATACCATGGTCCTTGTTCTTGTAAAGCCATTTGTTGCCATCATCAGTCAGCAGCTTATCCTGGCCAAAGGCTGCATTCACAAAGCCATTCACAAAAGAAGAGGCCAAGTTCATGCGGGCAGAGTCCACTTGAGAGCCACTGCCCCCAAACCCTGCACAGGAGGGAGAGGAAAGAAAGGTTGGTTTAGAGTGCGGCAAGAAAGAAACCTAGAAGCTGGTACCTGGTTCTAAGCTGGCCCCCTAGGATCCTCTATCTTTGCTCCCACCAGGGACCTGGAGGAAAGGTATGTAGGAATTCTGAGCTCTACAGGATAAATGTGTTTGGCCAACCTATCACTCCCAGTACAAGGAGCATAATTAATAATCCTCCAATCCCCACACACATGCAGATAGCTACTCACTATTATTCTCCAGGTGGGTTTTATAGATGTCATCAGGCACCTTGGGCTCCATGATATCCAGCTGAAGAGAAGTCAGAGGGTCATAACTGCTCCCCCAGTCCTCCCTTAGCTGTCCCTTCTGATATCCCTCTTAATGGAAATTCTAACCAAGGAGTCCAGTCAGTTACAGTCAGGTAAAATCACAACCAAGAAAGCTTTGATAGAAAAGGGCAGTCTCACCTCCCGAGCTAATGCCAAGAAGTTGCTATTGAGCTGCACATTGGACATGATCTCTGTCAGGTCCTCATACTCCTCCACATCTTCACTCAGCTCCAGAAACACCCCATGCCGGCCCAGCATGAATGCCATCTGCTTCTGTACGACCCTGTGGGAGAGAGCCATCCCAACTGCTCAGCGCCTACCCACTAAGGACACAGAACAGCCCCTCAAGCTCTAACCAGAAACTACAAGCTCCCACCCATGAGCTTCTCTCTTCCTCTGCAGGCTTCTTCCCTACATACACATCCTTGCAAGAGGTGAAGATGTCTTCTACCAGTTCCATGTCATTGAGCATCAATGCCAATCTGAGAGCTTCAGGGAAGCGACTGAACTTTCGGAACACACCCAAGGCACAGCGCAGTAGGGCAGAGTTCTCAGGCTCAGGCACATAATTCACACAGCTAGAGGTAAAAATAAAGGAATCGGAAGTTTCAGACATACATATACCCCATTTACTTCAGTTACCAAAAATAAATAAATACTATATATGTTATCCAGGCACTATGCCAGAAGCTGGGACTACTAAGGAGACATGATGTTTCTGTCCTCAAGTAGTTTACAGACATCAATAAATTAACTACAGTTTGACACTACCTATGATGCAAATGCTCTGAGAAAGCAGAGGAGGCACAGTTAAGAGAAAAGTGCTGGGACAGCAGGCCTGCCATCATTCCCTACCACACTTGCTCACCTGGTGAGATAGAGGCAGACCTTTGCATATGCATTCTCATCAATGTCCTTCTCCAGCATATCCACCTGCTCAATTTCCATGAGCAGGTCGCAGGCCTCATGCTCTGCGTTGTGGGCCATGTTGTATGGGACAATCTCCTTCACCAGGGTCAGCAGTGGCTCCCGCTGTGTTTTCTCCGCGTCATCCAGCTCCTGCCACTCCTTGGCCACTTCTCCTGCTAGATGCCTAATGGATAGACCCACACCATTAGGGAACACAGCTTCACAGGAAGCACTTCCCTGTGGGTCAAGGAATTCAGTGTCTGGGAAACTCAATACACTGGTACTCCAAGACAGATAACACTCTAAGACCGAACTCAGAATTATGTCTCAGAACCCCCTTCAGAGTCCCAAGAAAAGGTCTTACCTGACATACTCATGACCCCACGATGCCAATTCCTCCTGGGAGCCCACTAGCCGATATTTGAGGCACTCACGCTCCCCACTCATGGTCATCGCCAAAACAGAGATGATATCAGCAGCAAAACGCTTTAAAGAAACCAGTCTTTAAAGTTAAAACCAGGGTAAGGGGAGTATCACACTATGGAATCAAGATCACTTGTCACTATCCCCCAAATTAAGTATTAACTATGCACCAACCTCTAGAAATTTACATGTTAATTTCTAAGTTAAGCCTCACGGTAACTCCAGGGTTAGTACTGATATCTCCCTTTTATTTGTTTAATCCTCATCCAAGGATATGTTTTTATGGATATTTAGAGAGAGAGAGAGAAAAATGATGTGAAACATGGATCAGGGCCTCCCATACACACCCGACCGGGGATTAAACCCACACCCTTTGGTATATGGAACCAACCAACTAAGCCACCCAGCCAGAACACTATTTCCCTTTTAAACAAACATGGCTGAAGGATG